CTAGCCAAATGTTTATTAAGTTAGTGAAATTACAGTGTATAGGGATTTGTGAACTCAGCCATTATGATAGTGGCCTAGTTCTACAATGTGGTTTGTTTGGTTTTGGCTTAGCCTTGTATGTGAGCATAATTTCATATAGTCCAAATTAAGCCATGGTTTGCTTACACGTGGTTTTATTTAATAAACCATAATTGACTGGGTTTGTACTAAGGAAAGCTGTGGTTTCCAAACCAGGATAATTGAATTTATTTGTCTGTAGCTTAGTGTGTTGTATAAAGTGCTTTATAACTTACAGTATTGTGAAAACCTAGTCAGTAACACTACATGAATCTAAATGCAGAGGCTGTTGTACTATATTCTTCAGGTAGTATGTGCTAGATGCTGTGGAGTACGTAGTACTTGCAGCTTCCCACTGTTCACACTTGGGGGCAAGTGTTTTTGGCCAGTGTGACAACACTTAAAATTTGTAGAAGCTTGAGGATACAGTGGATGGAGAAGGATGAACAGTGGAGGGGATTTTATTTTGGTTTCTGAATGACCTCTGGGGGATTCTTACTACGAAGAGAGTTTTCATGAGTTTTTCCCTTCAAATAGTCAGAAATTCCACTATCATTTTTCAGTAACAGAGATTTGAAGGAGCAAAAAAGAAAGGTTTCAGGGGCTGAAGACTGCCCAGTCCTGTCTTGGAGGACAGAATGGTATATTCAGGACAATTTGATCTGTAAGTTAACCTTTTCTCAGATGAGGAGAATGATTTGACTATTATCAGAGCTGAAATAAGACTTAAGTCTGTGCCTCACTATTAGACTGGATATCTATCCCCTCACTCTTGACATAGCACAAAAGAATGTCAGCATAACTTCTGCTTGTCCCCATTGTTAATCCCTATCCTGACTTTACTGCATCTGTTCTGAGTCACTACTGAACACTTTGTTGGAATCTTGGAGAGAAGCTGGTGTCAAAAATAGGGAGGGACAGGTGACGAGAGCTTAGGAAACAAAGTACTACTCTGGTTAAGCCCCGAACAGCTCACCTGACCCCTTTTCAAGATAATGCATAGTGAAATAGTATCAGTTTAAGAGAGAAGATATTGCTTTAAAACTGGTACACCTAATTATTTAGTCATTTAACGAACTTATATAACTGCCTATCTCACACAGCGATCCTAGGTAGCTCAACACCACCAGTAAAAATAGGAATATTTTGTTGGTCTGTCCCTTCCTTGAAATGTGACAGATGGGTTGGAGGCAAGGTAAGGGCAATGTCATGGGGCCAAGGGGGAGACTGGGGTTGTAAGGGCATGATGGTCCTGTGTTAAACTGCAAATGAAGACATATCTTAACTGCTAGTCCAGTCTATTTCTGTAGGAATAATAGAAAAAAAAGTCATGTTTTGTCACAGGTAGTAAAATGACTTGGACAAGCTGCATTTAAGGGCTACATGAATGTAAACCCAATTAGTAAACATTAGGTAGACTACTATTGTTTTATTTATTATTAACGATATTAAATGTGGATGTCTGAATAGGTGACCCATGGGTAGACATGCATAAAAATTTCTCTGACATTAGTGTGAACTGGGGAAGTTGGCCTGAATCTGTGGCAGCCTGAAAGGGGGTCTTGCTGTCCTTTGATTTTAGGAAAGTCTCAAATGAGAAATATGTGAAAGGGCTTTACTACCAAGAATCTAACATTTGCATAATACTTCAACACTTCAGACTGTTCAAGCTCCTCACACACATCGTTGTACATCATTCCCGAATCAAAGACTGGAAATGAAGGCCCACTGCTTGAAAAATACCAGCCAAAGTTCATGACAGAAATTATATTTTGGCCTACAGTCACACTTATAGATTGTGATTCTAAATATATTCATATGAAAATAAATCTGAAATTAGTTGATTTTATTTCCAAATAAAAGTGAAAAGGATTGAAAATTTATAGGATTGAAATGCTATAAGTGCATAGGAAAAATGCATCTCATTCTCACGTATTTTCATTTAAAATGTATCTGTTGGAATTATTATTTGTGATACAGCAGATTAAATGCAGGTTATTAAAACTGCAGCTTTGTATCATTTTTTTAAAAAAAATTGCATAATTTTATATATAGTATTAGCTCTTGTGATCTCAGGTTTCACTGAGGAGGTCATATATGATAAGCTGTGGTTTGCTTAACCATGGTTTATTCAGTAACCCATAATTTGTAGGTTCAAACTACATGAAGCCATAAATTATAGTTATAAACCAGTATGGTTTGTATTACATGGTTGAATACTCCTAGTATGTTGAGCCCAAACCAACCTAACCAGCCTATGGTTTAATGGATTATGTAAACCCAGGCACAATGCAATTCATTTGGCTTTGTCTTAGCATGTTGTATGAATCCAGCCACTCATGGTTATGGCTTAGTGTGCTGTCCAAGCCCAGCTAAATGTGGTTTTCTTTTCCTAAAAAAAACCCCAGTTAAATAAACAATGCCTTATTGTGAGGCGTGCACTGGTATTAGTTCTTAATTTGCTTTTTCTTCTTCCTCTATTTATGGCTTTCTAGCTTATAAGCATAGCCCAGTTGCTTGCAGAACATTTCTGTAGTTTCTGAATTAAAAGGAAAATGGATGGAGACTATTGGCTTCACCTGATGCCCAACATAATGTCTCATGCAAGTGTAAAGCAATTGAAATAAAGAATTTTGTGCAAGAAATTTAGTGAAGATACACTGATAATTCACAGGACACAAGGAAAATAGGCTCACAGCATTTTAAAAGTGGCTTTGAAAGTTGTGGATAATCCTGAAATAACTTACTTCTTGTACTACTATATTCAGTTTTGTTTCTGTATCATTCCTTTAATAGGGAGAAAGAATGTAATTTATGTCCTCCCCCCAGCTTAGAATTTCACCTACATTAAGGTGGGCTGCTTTTGAAGGCTTAATAGGTTGGACTTCGCTACTTGCTTTGACATTACCTGCTTTGTCTGAGCCCCCCTTCACTTCCTCCGCCTGCCTTCAGTTTGTAAATTTATGAGAATTGCAGCTGGTCGCCTTGGCAAGTTACCCTCATTAAGAGCCCCCTTTGAGAACAGGCTGTGTTTGAATATTCCCCTAATGAGGACAGGACGGGGTTAAAAAGTGACCATTTCATGGTTGACTTGAACCTGCCTCCCGTCGATGTTTCGTGGTGAAATGCCTGACCCGGAGAAATCCACTTTGCAAACGCGAAAGTCAGCTGGCCCCTTCCAAATAGTTCACACGATGGGGAGGGAAAAGGGGCTGAAGGAGGACGCTCCAGGGACCAGCTTACCTGAGGCAGGCAAGTGCTGGTTGTGGAGGGAGCTTGTCTTGGGCAATCTCCTTCCCTCAGGCTCGGGGCGTTTTCCCATCGCCGGGCGGGGCGGGGGCGAGACGGAAGAGTTACACAACGCCTTTGGGCTGTAGCTTCGAAGCCCTCCGTCTACAAGGACTTTGCTGGAAGGGCTCCGGGTTTGCTTTGCCTGGGCGTTCCTCGGATCAAAGTCCGCAGGTGTCAAGGCGGTGCAGAAAATCTTGGTATTTTTTTTCTGAGCCCATATGGCCTTATGAAACTGTAGCGTAGGTGTAGTTGAAGATGAAAGGCCCGTGGACACCCTGGTCATGCAATACTCCTGGACTTGGTGCTCCCCTCTGCTTGCATTGCTTTTGGCCACTTTGCTGTTCAAAGCTGAGGAGACTTTGCGCTGCTCCGCCTGATAGTCTGACGAAGCAACCTTAAGCAGCGTTCAGGGGCAATTTTGGAATTCATGAAATGTATGCGTTGTGGAGAACTTTTCCTAGTCTTGAGTCCACTTTTAATCAAATGCACAAATGGTTAGGCACAGCTTGCAAGTTTATATACACACATGGGTGCAAAGGGAAAAGAGGAATGTTCTTAAAACTGACTTCCCGCCTTAGGGCGAGTGTGATAACGTCGTTAGTGCGTGTGTGTTTTAATATGTGCATTCTTGGAAAAAAAAAAACCCGCGGGCGCGAACTTCTTCTTGGCACGAGCTGGTGGGTGAGATTGAAAGCAGACTAGCGTATTGCTACAGCAGCGGGCTTTTTGTTTTTTCGCCTCCCTCAGGGGAACCGCCACCCATTCCCTCATCGCACCCTGATGGAAAACGCTTGCCCGAAGCAGACCCCCAAAATCATACATGAGCAGGAGTAAACGTCTCGGGCGGGGATGGAGGCCACATGGAAGAGGTTCCCTGCGAGCATGGCGCCTTTCCACCGTGGGGTCTGCAAAGAGCATGCTGGCTTTCACTTGTAAGGGTGGGGTGAGGAAGAGATCTGAGCGAGTCTTCAGTTCAGTGACCTTGCTCCACATGTAGGCGACAGGGTCGCGGGTTTCCAGACGCTGCCTATGCTGCAAACGTATGCAGAGGAAGAGCCGCCAACGCGCATTTCCTTCCCCCTCCAATTCCTGTTGTCTAATAGTAGCGAAGAGGCAAAGTTTCCCGCTTTGTAGCCCCCTCCCCTTGAACGGCGATATTCAGGGTCTGCAGAGAGACTGGGTTGGGGTTTCTGTCGCCCCACCCTTTGTCAGTCTCCCCCCCCTTCTGTGAAGGAATTTTCCATCGGGCGGTGTTGTTGCTCCGTTCTTTTCGCTCTCCCAGAACTTGAGCTACAATAGTGATCCCCGGTTCCCCCAAACGGACCCGCTTTCCTGTCCCCTCTCGAAGGGGAAGGAAAGTGAGAATGTGTGCGTAAAGCAGGCACGTTTGTAAAATGTGCGGCCAAGCTCTAGTACAGTACGGCGGTGATTAAAGAGGAAAGGAGGGGGCTCGGGGAGGGAAGGAATGCGTTTGCAGCAGCGGCGGGGGGAGGGATATATGCGTTGGTTGTGTAATTAAATAATAAACCGAAATCCTGAAGTCGTGTTTGGGGAAAAAGCTACAACGAAGGGCCAGAGAAATGCTCGGTAAAATACCCTCCCCCCACTGAACTTCCAGGTCTTGCAGAAACCAGTACATGAAGAAAGGGGAAAGAGTGTAAGGGAGGAGGAGGAGGGGAAACAAGAGATTGATCGTTTTGAATTTTCAAGAGATCATTTTTATTACAGTGGGCGTTTGAAAAGCAGGCTCTGAACATTATCCACAGAGAAAGGGGGTGGAGAGACAGAGAGGCACAGGCTGCTGCGAGAGAAGCCTAGCGATTGCGCGCTGCTGCGAACTGTTTTCGCAGCCTTGGGGAACGCGCGCGCACACTCCCTGGTTGGCGCTCTACTGCACAGGGCTGTTGCAAAGTTTCGCCTGCCATCATACACCAGGATTTTCCTGCTTCGCCGCTGCAACCTTGAACTTTGGCAACGTGGTTGATAGTACCGTGGTGTATCCCGCTAGCAGCTTTTCCAAAGCGCTTGGAAATCCGGGAGAAAGGAAAAAAGCAACGCGAGGAAGGAAAAATATCCCGACCCCCCCCTTAACTCCCTGCATTCCATTCAACCCCCACCCCCCACTCCCAATTCCGCCTCCTTCTGTCCCAATTCACCAGCAGCCACTGCAAGCAGCAGCAAGAGTGAACCGCCGCCGAGAACAAGAGGGTTAAAAGTGTAGATTGGATTTCACCCCGGGAAATCTAGCGCTCGGAGTGAACTTGAATCTCTGGCTATTTAAGGAGGACTGGGGCTGGTTGCGAAGTTGTGGCGATTCAAGGCAGAGCTTGCTCCTGATCCATCTTTTCCTTTTGGAAGCGTTAGATGATTGTAAAATGAATAGATGAAACCGTTGCGCTTTTGATACTTTTCCTCTCGGCAGAAGTGCTATCTTAGAGCGAAGTCATGATGTATTCTCCCATCTGTCTCACTCAGGTATAGCCGCCTTTTCTTTTCCATTATTTTTTTTTTAAACGGGGGAACTAAACTTGTATTCGAGTTGCGCTGGGTACCTTTGGTAGAACTATTCAAAGGAATACTCGTTCCATCCTTGGTCTTTATGGGGGGAAAAAGCTAAAAATATATGTACCTGTTGTATAAACCTATTCGAAGGTGTGCGTGGGGGATAAGGAGGAAATAATACAAATATTTCAGAATGCCAGTGACAAACGAGTATTATTAAATTACTGTTGCAGGAAAAAAGTGATTAAAACTAGAACCAGCAACAACGTCGGGTGGATTCACGTGAATTCGCCAACAAAATAATGATCCGTTTTGCAGCCTATATTTAGCCTGAAAAAGGAAAGTGTTCCTTTATTTTTAATTAAGCAGTGGCTGGTAACATAATACCATTCCATGCTGAATTAATCATATATACTTGAGGTTGGTTTGAGAAAAGGTGACTGAGCAGAAGGTTTTATTTGATTATCCAATACATTTTTTCTTGATAAATTCCGGTACTTGAAAGTTTTTAAAGTCAACACCCAAGGTCATAAGGAAAACTGAACCTTTCCTGCTATATTAAGCCTGCAGACATTTCTGTCCTTTCAAAACTGAGTAATTTTCTACACTACATATACATGCTTTTACTTTGAAGAACATTTAGACAAACCATGCATTTATTTAACAGGCCATAGTTTCCATTCCCATAATATAGTTAGAATTTCAACACATGGTGAGATTGGAGTAAAGATTTGGTGTCACAGAAGTTTCAGAAGTAAAAAAAAAAAAATGGAGTGCAGAGTCGGATCCAATATAAATTACAGCACAGAAGTGCCTTTGAGATGTTCGAGTGTCTGCAGCATGTGACATTTGTACCATTTTTCATTCATTAAACTGATGGAATATATTCCAGGTAGCATGTACAACTAAGTCAATAATGATCAGGTCTGGTTAAAATCTTAAAGTGCAATTTGAACACTTTAATGTATACTGATATAAGTAATACTGGTGGAAGAAATAGGGCTTTGTTATGTAATATTTTGGCTGGTATTATAATATGATCAAAATCATAAAGAATTTCTTTGACAATTGGAAACCATTGTAATTCTGTTGGACTTGAGCATTCACAGAATTATGAATGAAGATTTAAACAATGATAAGGATTATTCAGTGATTGGATACAGTCCTGTAGCTTTTTGGCTGACACGTTTTTATTGTTTATATTTTGTTTGGCATCAAAGTGTGATTAACTTAGGAATCTTTTCAGCAAGTAAATGGGAACTTTACTGATGCAAAACAGGTGTAAAAAATGTGAGGTATTTGGGAAATTATAAAAAGTCAGCATTTACACGCACATATTTTATATGTCTCTTGATCTATTGGTAGAGGCACAAACGTTGTAAAATTCAACATACTGTATTTTTTCTTTGTGTATAACATTTGATATTTAAGGGGACTTATACCAGCCATATTAAAAATATTTGCTAGTTTCATAGGACTTGCAAAACCATGCTTATTGCCCTAACATCATTGTATTTGGTTTTCAATGCTGATACCAGATAAAGGTTAAAATTTATCTTAAGCTTTAAATGTAAGATGCTTTAACTGTAACATAAGGTATAATCCATTGCTGTTTCTGGCCTAATGCCTCAGTTCATGTGGGTGTTTTAGAATAGGATGTTTGTGTCTGGATGTATTAAAGGGAAGTATTAAAATTTTCCATGGATGTTATTAAGCAACTTTTATCAATTCCTTATTTACCATAAGCATACTATTAAATGTCACTTTGTCTTTTCCAAAGCAAAATAAATTATTTGGGTGTGATTTGCATGCAGTCTGAAAGTCTGAAACAATTTTACGGCAAACTTAGTATCGATTAATTTAAGATAAGTCAAGTGGTTCAACAAAACGCCCACTAATTTTGAAATGAAATGTGCACTGTTTTTCCTAAATGATTTTTAAATTGCTTTTTTATTTACTTTGTGAATTTGTAATTCACATGCTTTAAGAATGAATGACATATTACTGTAAGTTGGGACAAAATCCAGCCTATCCCAAGTTTTGAATACGTATCCATTGCCCCATGTTTGTACAACAGTTAGGTTTATGGTGAGTATAATATTGTAGTACTTTATAATATATTCCTAGAAATCTTAGAAACTAGAATAAAAGGAATACTTGACTGGCCAAAATACTGTATAGAACATGCATTTGATAAATTTTTTTTAAAGAATCTATATAAAAATAGTTGGATGTTAAGAACTGTTACTTTATCATAAGGTTGTGATTAACTTGGAGTCAAATTAAGTTGCATTGAAATCAATAGGATATAAGAATAAATGAGGTATCGATAGACATTTTATATCTTAGAAACCTAAACTGGTCAAGTAGAATGGAGAATTAGCTGAACACTTCTTTTGTGCAATTAATATAAACTTAGTTTTAACATCCATAGATAGCTGCCTATATTTGTTAGTATTCACAGCTGAAGAGTCTTTTTCATAGTTTAATTTTATGAGTAGTTCAGTAAATACAGATTTACTGTATTTATTTCTAAGCTAGAATTGCTAAATTGAACATTAAGCCTAACAGTGTGCATAGCTCTGGATATATTTTTGCAGTGTTATCTTTTTTTGTGGAATAGTTTTCTGAATTCATGTAACAAACTAATGGGAAAGTAAGATAGATATGGGAAATAATTTTCCATTTTTTTTTCTGGAGAAAATATTTAGTTTCTTTATATATAAGGGGAAGGGAAATACATGAAAACATTGTGGAAATTGACCATGGTTGTGGATCCATCAGCATTGTGGTTAAAATAGCTGAAAAGCTTGATTTATCTGTTACAAAGTTTGCTGTTTGTTTTTAACTACAGTATATGCAAATGCCGTACACAACTTTTTCCTTGTATTGTGTTTCTTTCAAAAGATCAGATTCAATAGTGGGTGTATGAGCATTTTTAAAGATAATCTATGTGATATAAGTTCCACTTAAGAAACAATTTTTACTTGAACAATGTTTTAGGTTGTTACAGTAGTTGAGATGTATATCAGTGACTGTAGTATCACTTAAATGTGAATTTTATGTCAAGATCTGTTATTTAATGTATGGCTTTTAAAAACATGAATGTTCTTTTTTATCTGATAATTTGGAGTTTTCAGTTCCATTTTTATAGCAGTAAATATATTGTAGAAGCCATATATGTAAAATTGAGAATTTATGATTGGTATGTTGTGTCATTTTAAAAATACAAAATAAGTAGCAATAGTAATCATAGATACTACGCATTTATCCTGTTGCATTCAGGTGAGTTTATATTTGTCTAAATGTGATGAGTAAAGTAACATTAAAATAAAAACTAAGTTTTTTGTTAAAATGCCAAATACCATGACCTGAATTATCAATTTCACAGGATCTTTGATGGCAATTTATGGGGCTAAATATATTGTAAAATAATTTTTAGACAGTACTGGACATAGTTTCAAACCATTCAATTTCTGGGCTTTTAATAACTTCTTATTTACTTTTGTACTTCTAACTTACATTGTATTATTAAAATACACATTTTTAATAATAATTTTATAGAAGCCAATTTCTGAGAAAAACTGTAGTAATAAAAAAAATGGCACCAGAGTGCACCGAGATAGGGAAGTCTTATCGTGGGCTGTGGTTGCTCTGAGCTGTGCTCTCTTCCCACACAAAGAGCAGATTGTGGTTTAACTCTTTCCTTCATGTAGTTTGTGCCCTTAAAGTAACAGAAATCTTAAAATCTCTGTATAGAATTGCTTGCCACTTTAGTAATTGCCCGATACTTCATTTTATTTTGTAATGCAATTATTTTTATTCCTTATATTTCTATTTTAGTTTGATTAGTTTTTGCCCTGTAAAGGAAAGAGGTGTATATAAAACCAAAGTTGAAATAACACTGCAGGTCTTAATACAGGGCCTTGAAGTAAGTCTACAAAGTCTTAATATAACGTCTTGCTATTTTTACCTATAAAAATGCAGGATTTAGTATAAAGAACATTCAGTAATCAGTGTAAATGTTTGCATGAACTTTTGTTAAGTATTAGTTGCTTGTACGAACTGTTTCATAAATCTATAAATGTATTTTGAATTGAATAAATACATTTAAAGTTCTTAATCTCAAATATATATTTTAATACAATTCTTAAAATCAGTGACATTTGCTTTCCAGTTAAGGGTTTTAGTATTAATACATATGTTCAGTTTGCTTGAAAAGTACAATTTAATATCAGGTCTAATTTTAGTATCAATACAATATTTTACTGTATTGTGACTCAAATTCAATTTGAATGAACTAATATGGTCTAAGAAAAATAATAGGTCAAACATGAATAGGTAACATTGCCCTTTTGCCACAATTTTCTTTAAAAATCTTAATATGATAGGCACTAGGTCTATAGAAATACTTTTGCTTAGAAGCTAATTATATACTGTATGTGACAAAGATGGAAATTGGAACACGTAAGATACACCTTAAGATAGGTACCTCTTATTAATCAAAATAATGTAATTGCTAATACCTACAGCCAAAGTTTAGTCAGTTAAAACAAATAATAAAATGTAGAAAATCTATATGAATCTGTAGGTAAAACCTGTAAGAGGAAGAGTTCTTCATGTCTAATACATCTGTGTGTATTTCAGAAAAACAAGTTTATCCAATGCAGTATTAATGTTACCCTGCCACAGAGCGTTGAATGACAAAAAAGGGAAAGTTTATTTCAAATTATCCTTTTTTCTTTGTGTACCTTAGAGTTTTTGGGTTTTTTTCTGGAGTGGGGTCAAAGAATTAGTACCTACTTGAGAACCATTAATAGGTAATTAACTTTGTGAGGCTTTGTACCCCACAGTGGAATGAAACAAATCTGTTCCATGTAAATTTCAGTTTTTTTAAAAAATGGTAAAGTTAAGCAGGGAAACATGGGCAGCTGGGGAACACTACAAGACACTCCAATTTTATTGGGATGGTGTAATTCCTTTGGCCTTTCTTGCATTCTTTCTTGATTTCTGTGGTTATTCCTGCTAGAATAATGCTGTTTTATGATTGGAATGTTGGGTGATTGATAAGGGAATGGGATCGTATTTCATTGTTCATGGTCTTTGTGTTGTCATCAGTCTTTTGCTGAGAGCAAGTTCCAGAAGCGGGAACTACATAGCACAACATTTAATACGTATAACATAGTGTTTCTGAATCATACAGAAGAGGAATGATTTGTATTATTAACTTTACATTTACAATATTCCTGCTCATTTGTCTTAAAATTTGCAGCACAAATCTTTGTTAAATTCGTAGTGTTTGGTGAACCAATAAATCACAGAACATTTTGTTTTATTTTAAACTCATATAATTGTATGTCAATCTGGAGCCACGTCCAAGGAATTGGTGTAATATTAAATGTTAATGAGCTTCAATAAGTGAAATACAGGCATAAATTTTTAGAATACATATGCATCTTTTCTGGGTATTGTAAATGCTGCTAAAAAATGCTTAAAACTTGCATTTTATTCATATTTTTCTAGAAATAATTGTCCTTGACTGTACAAATGAAACTGGTCCCTCAATTTTTCTTTTTTCTTTTTTGTTTTGTTTGTACCAACAGGATGAATTTCACCCATTCATTGAGGCACTTCTTCCACATGTCCGTGCAATTGCCTACACTTGGTTCAACCTTCAGGCTCGAAAACGCAAGTACTTTAAAAAACATGAAAAGCGAATGTCAAAAGATGAAGAAAGAGCAGTCAAGGATGAGTTACTTAGTGAAAAGCCAGAAATTAAACAGAAGTGGGCATCCAGGCTTCTCGCCAAATTGCGCAAAGATATCCGCCAAGAATATCGAGAGGATTTTGTGCTTACTGTTACTGGGAAGAAGCACCCATGCTGTGTATTATCCAATCCTGACCAGAAGGGCAAGATTAGGAGAATCGACTGCCTTAGACAAGCAGACAAAGTCTGGCGCCTGGATCTAGTTATGGTGATCCTTTTTAAAGGTATCCCCCTGGAAAGTACGGATGGAGAACGGCTCATGAAATCCCCCCATTGCACAAATCCAGCACTTTGCGTTCAGCCGCATCACATAACAGTATCAGTCAAGGAGCTTGATTTGTTTCTGGCATACTATGTACAGGATCAAGGTAGGGCCTTTTTAAATATATATATATATATTTATACACATGCATGAATATGCCAAACCTTTTTATTTTTTAAAAAAGCTGTAAACATTTCATATATTTGCATAGATATGGATATGTGCTTGCTAATGTACCCATTAGGTGCAGGAGTACCCAAAATGCATATTAACATTTGTTATAAAGGAGAGTTGAAAATACTAGGAATGGTTTGTGTGTGTGTTACAGAGGAAATTGTATTCATAGCATACATGTTCATAACAACTGTATCATCTGTTTTATTTATAGCTGTTTATTTGCCCATTATGTTCTCTATTCATTTTGAAAATAAAACTGTTAAATATTATAAAAGACTGGTGAAAAAACAAGAAATGGCATATAATCTGGATTATTGTTATGCGGTAAACATAAATAGGTTATATAGTTGCCTTATCAGTGTTCACAGTGTGGCATTTCTCCAAACTTTGAACTAAATAACTTCTATAATAAGATACACATTTTAAAACATTGCTTAAATAAGTTTACTTCAAGTTACATTACAACGTAGTGAAAAACTTCTGTAGTTAACATTAGGGTCGTTTGTGTGCTTAGATAATTTGTATTCAGTGATGATGTTTGATCTAATGTAGAACTTCTTCTGTTTTTCTTTGTACATTTTTTTAGATTAAAGCCTCTGACGTAGTAGATTGTTTCTAGAATCATATAATACGTCTAAGTTAGGAGTAAACTTTTATCATTCAGTGTTTGCAGATAGGAGCTTTTTACATAAATTGGCCTGGTACTGGAAACTACGAAAAGAAAGGTGGATGGGAAATGTTAATACAAACATAAAGTAAAATTATTTTTCATATTTCTGGTGATGTTACCAAAAGACTTGGCTTAGTATTCTTAGTGTTGATTTTGTATAATTCAGTCTGTTATTGTCATTGCTAACTTTGAACTTTATATACAGTTACTGTATAGTAGCTTTACCTTGAAAAACAGACATTAAAGGGAAATAAAAACTTGTCCTATTTTTCAACAATGAGGACAGTTATAAAATACAGGCTGCATTCCAGTTCAGAGCAAGTGAATACTGTTTATGTTTCATTGGTTTCAATGTGAGTTAATTTTTATGCTTTGCTGTGGTATGCATTTGAAAACTCTTGTAATCCAAGTCTACAATCCTGTGAATGAGATTGAAGGAGAGCTTCACTTAACTCAGTGAGACCTCTAGGACTATTTGAATTTAAATGTACTGCAAATTAATCTTGGAGGAAGAACAATTTGTAGTGAAAACTTCAATCTAATCATATGAACTATGTATCTCCTTTACCTCAAAGAATATTTAAAAATGTAATGTTCAGTAACTAAAACAAGTTTTAAATATAGTTAATCTAGTCATGTTAAACTATATGTGAAATTGTATGTTAAGTATAGTTAGTGAATTGATGATGGAATATTTCACTTGGTTGCGCATTATCTCCATTAGGAAGTGACCTGTAGCTGAAAATAACATTGAAGCAGCATTTTATATCTGTCCATATGTATTTCTTCAGATGCTGTGTTTGCTTGCATTGAGAGAATGATAGGGGTAAAAGGAAATACTGGTGATATCAGATTGATACCATAGATTGTGTATGAATTGTCAAAATAACTTATGTAAATGTTTGCTAAGACTGCTTGCACTTTTCCAATATTCTTTCAATTAGTGACATTTGTGGATGAAAAGTTGGTATCTCTCTTTGTATTAGATCAGCTATAGAAGGTCACTGTCACAAATAATATATTTAGTTAACAATCTGCTAAAGGCTTTTCTAGAAGCTTGCTAAAAGTTATTGTTTTTGTAGTAGAAATACATTCTTAGCCGTTTTCCTTTGTATAGAAAAAGATTCTAGGTTTGAATTATTCTCAGAATAGCTTACTCTTAATCCTTTGGCAGGCAGGGAATGAAGGCTAGCTAAGTTTGCAGAAAGTATATACATATCAAACTAATTATCTTTTTTAAAGAGTTGGTTTTCTAACTAAGCATATGAAGATTTCTTTGATAATGTTTCGTCAGTTAGCGGGCAGGAAGATGAGAAAAGTTCGTGGACAGAGTTGAAAAAGGATAAAATTCTTGAATGAATGAAAGAATAAAATAGAGCTATATTGAAGCATTGGCAAAAACATGAGGAAGAATAGTTTGAGAGCCAGTAATGGTTGCCAGTGGCACCAAGATTGGCATTGGACCTTCTTTGTTTAGCCTAGAATGCCTGTGATTTGTTGTTTGGTATCCGCATTGCAGAGCAGAGCAATGTTACAATATATTGAGAATTTCTTGATCTAGAAATATCACTCATTTTTATGATTTGATGGAGAGGATTCTTTCGGTTTTTCCAAATCTGCATTGAAGGAAGAAATATAGACCAGTCTGCCAAGTTATATTGACTATATTTAGCTATTTTTCGTAAAAAAAAAAAAAATGCCCCTCTCTCTTTTGCCATCGTTTTGGTTTTTTTTCAGAATTCCTATCTTAAAATTTCAAAACATGAGAGAAATAAATTGTTATTTGATGTTGATTCCTTTTGCTAGCTGGGAGCAGAAGATAGGCTTAAAATAATTTGTGGTCTACAGGTGTTCAGATGAAGCAGGAAGCCCATTTTAAAAACATTTATTTAAATATTACATGTTTTAGTTAAATTCATTTCAAAATTAAAAATTAGGATTACAATATCTTGCTTAACTGAAACAGGATATATTTATTAGTTTCTTTCATTTGGTACAGGCTGTGTTTCAGTCTATAAAATCAGTTGGTAATATTTGATTCAATCAGTACAGCTCTTATGCTCTGTTCTGTTTCTACAAGAACCGCCATTTTGTTTGTCAAGTGCCAGCAGAGTGGGGGAGGAAAAGCAGACAATGTGCTTGATGCCAATAATGGTTGCCAGTGGCACCGAGGTTGGCATCAAACCCTCTTTGTCTAGTTTCTGAATGCCTTTGATTCGTTGGTTGGCATCTGCATTGCAGTGGGCACATTGGAAAGTTTTTTGACAATCACTGAATGAAAGCTGTTGTATTTATTTGCTGCAGTAGAACTTCAGATAAAAGAAATCCTTCCTCTAATAGATAACTTTTTTTTTAGTTCCACAGCAGCACATTTTTAAAGTTCCTCTTTTTTTATTGAAATAAACTATTTTTGGTGTGTATTTCTTTTCTAAATAATTTAATCCTCCTGGTGTCTGCTGTTCTTCTGAAGTTATAAAGAATTACATGTTTTTATTTTAGGCTGCCTAATGGGATATATTATGTGTACTTAAAATAATAATGTTAACACCAAGTGTTTCTAAGTCTTATTACATGTCATGCAGTTGCACCACGTTTCTTATTTCAATAATGTTACATAACTATTTCTGTTTTAGCACATTGATTAAATATTATATACTAGGACTCTGTAATGCTGCTTCCATTTATCAATCAAAGCTAGATAGAAATGTATTTTGTTTTCAGCGGAAAGATATGGTTCATCCTGGTTTGCTTTAGTTTGGGTGCACTTGGATTTCCAGATTGTAAAACCTCAATTATTTTTGCAAGTAACTGCGTGAGTTGGCTCCCAGGGCCACTGCACATGCTAAGGCACTGCTGCTGATGTTTCCTAGATAGTATTAATATTGTTTTCATGCTAACCTCCATTATTGTCTTAATTATTAGAGTAGCATTTTTGCCCAAAAAGCCATATGAAGGAAATCTGGCCTACATGAGCCCTGAATTGCCAAAGTGTGTCATGTCTGTAGGAAAAAAAGAGGGAACAGATCAGGTGACTGCTAGTTTGGGAAAATGATCTTAGGATAAGGAAAAACAGAAAACCTGATTATAAGAATGTAGCAAAAATTTACATACCTCATTGAAAGTCCCAAATTTTCTTTGTTGGCATTATATTCAAGTCACATACTTTCTACATTTGTAGCTTACCTTATTATACCTAGAATGTGTATTATGTTGGCAGAGTGGCAGTAGTTTACATAATGAGTATCATCTTTAGAGAATCTTACTAAGCATACACAAGTTGCAGCTGTGTTGCAATTCTGTATTAATTCATTGAGGACTAGGTCTTGGCTATTCTTCTCCCCCTCCCCCAACGTTAATGCAGTAATAGATATTAAGATAAAGATAGCGTATTTTTAAAGAGCTTTAAAAAGAGAAACTTAAGAAAAATACTTGACAACTAACTCACTGAGTTGTTATTTCGGTATATTTTATGGGTGTTATAAGTGTTATGTGTTTTATGTGTGTTATGTGACTATGTTGGCTGGTAAATAAGCGTAAATTGAATGAAAATTTTTAAGAGTTAAAATACTGTTGAAAACAACCATCTTGACATGTGTCAATTTACCAGTCATAGAGGCTAAATTAAGGTATAAACTTATTGCTTTTATAAGCAAAATAGTACGATGTACTAGTACTTAAAACGTAATCTGCTACTGCCTACTAAAGCAGTTGCAATATTAACTAACTAAACTACCTTTTAACAGTGTATTGGCTATTTTAGAAATATTCGAATTAAGATTTAGAAAGTATAATGTTGTGATAATTTATTTTGCCCACAGTGAAAAAACAGTTTAAAAATTAGTATATTTGAAATAAACTGTGTAGTAATGTAAAAACAATGTTATATTATGGAACAATGTTATTCTTGATTTAGCATTACGTTTTCCTAATCTACTATGAAATAGATATGTTGTGCTTCACATGAGATATGAAGTGCATTTCTCTGTTCCTAAGGATGACTTCAGAGAATATGGATTATAGTCATTTGTTCATGCAGTTTTCTATGTAAAAATTAGTGTAATTATGTCAGTGATGGCAAGTCTCTGTAAAAGTTATTCATGTTGTTTATCAATAAAGTCAAAGTCCACAGATCTAGAAGTATGAGCACAGCCATTGTGGTTTATAAACCATATTGTAGCATATTGCGCGAACTCAGCCATTTTTGCTTATTGTACAGACCATGTTTAAAGTGATGTGTACAGCCAGCCATTGAAGATGTT